AAATGAATTTTCATTAAACGATAGTTATTATAGTTTGGATTACATCATGGCATTATTCAATTAATATGGATGAAAATAGTTATACTAAAGTTATTAATACCTTAATAGTTATTATTATTATTATTATTATATTAATAAAATAGTAACAAACAGTAGTTGATTTTCATTTGATTTAAAGATTATAACTGTAGAATTCGAAGCTTCAGACTTAAAAATCGAGTGAAGTGTGTGGTAGAAATACTTTCATGCATAAATTCATGATCGATCATATATGTTTAAGGAAACATCAAAAGATATTTAACATTCATTTCGTATAAAACAAATATTTTAAATTAAAATTTTTATATAAGCATTTTAAATGATATGTAATTTTGATGCCAATGCAAGGGTCGGTAAAAGAAGTAAAAGGAAGCAATTTAAGACAAAAAATTCTTGACAGTTTTATTTTATTAATTAATTATTTTATTATTTGCTTAAATGACAAGTGAAGAGAACATGAAGGAATAAACGAAACGATTAATTATCGTAGATTTTCCATTATATCATCAGCAAAAGCAATTTTTTGTTAATTTCAGGTGAAATGATATTTTAATCTTATAATAATTATCTATTTCCTATATTGAATAGTCGAATATCTCGTTGTAGAGTGTTTTTGCTAAAATACTTCAAAGTCTCGACATTTTCTGCTTCTTATCTAAGGCAAACTATTTAACAGCCAGCTTCAATATGTGCTTAATTATCGTAGTACATTGGAAAATCTTTCGATTATTTCAATGTTTTATGAGTGTTAGAGCATTTTTTTTGAATATCCATAAGCATTAGCATCTTGAATTATAGATAATTTGAATATAATTTTTCCCTTATAATATTAGTAAACAAAAAAGACATCGAATGAATAACTTTCGCTTCATATTATCGGATACTGTAGACTTATTTTATGCTTGAAATATTATCTCTTTTACAATCTTCCCTTTATTTATTTGTATATCTACAAATGATGGCACGTGACAAAACAATGGATAAGTTAAATTATTCATGCAATTATTTGTCAGAAGAATTTTCTCTCATTGCTCATTGTAAGAATGCATTGAAAGACTTTCCTTTCACGTAAGTGACGAATTATTGAATTGTAATTTGAAATAATCATTACGTGGAAAGTCACTGTGATACATTTTCATCAGAAATTTCTTTCGTCCAAAAAAATTCATTTAATATTCTATTTTTGGTGTGTTTGTTATAATGTTATAACATTGTGATATTTATATAAATCATTTCGGATTGATTGATCACAGGCTATCAAATTGATCACAGCTCAATCAGGCTATCAGATTGATCACAGCTCAATCAGGCTATCAGATTGATCACAGCTCGGATTCCAAGTTGAAATAATGACCTCCGTAAAGTTAACTTCTGTTATTTCAATCACTATTATCGTTAGAAGAGTATTTTGTAATCAATAAGAAATGAAGGAAAAAAAGAGTGAAACGTGTACCATTCTTCAAGTTTTATTTTTATACAGCCTATGAGATATTTAGGGCGATGATTTATTAATTCTTTTGAACTATAAGTAGAACGAAAGTCGAAGATCAACGAAGTGATTTTTTTCATTACCTCCACTATCGTTGTCATCGTGACCGTGTCATTTTTATCATAGTTGTTATCAGTGATTAACGAGAAGTGACATAACCAAACTAATGTTTGAAATGAATTTTGAAATCTATTATTGAGGTCTCTTTGAGCTTTAAGATTCTAAGAATTAATGAGATATTTTTCTCAAAGAATAAAAAGAATAAAGACAAAAAAATTAGGTAAGTAAAGAGAGAAGGAAAGAAAGAAGAAGCATGAAAGGAAAGAGTATTTATGATCAATATAGCATCATTATACAGGATTTATTTGTTCTAAGCGTCCGCTCGTTGGTTGGATCTTAAACAGAGCAGTATTGGATGCGGAAGTTCATAATCTTTGTTAACTGTCTCTTAATAAAGTAAACAACCATTATCATTACTGTTGTCATCACAGGCAGTTTTTATCATTTCTAATCAGATGAAAGGAGCAATAAGAAGGGAAAAAGAAGGCAAAGAAGAAAGACGATGAAATTCTTTTTCCTTTTTTCTTACTGCATAATGGTTTAGCCGAAATATTTTTCCGTTTATTAGCCTCTTTGAGAGTGGGCGATGGATACATTTGGAAGAGAATCGAAAAACTGAAATGAATTGGATGAAAGTTTTTCTGATTCACATAATCCTTAATGCCCCATTACTTATCCATCCACCCATTCATTTCATTTCATTTCATTTCATTCATTCCATTTCATTTCATTTCATTCCATTCCATTTCATTTCATTTCATTCTATTTCATTTCATTTCATTTCATTCCATTTCGTTTCATTCCATTGTATTGTTTTTTTTTATACAGAATAGAATGGAACTGGAATGGAATGGAATTTCATTTCATTTCATATTATTCCATTCCATTCTATGTCAATTCTAATCCATTCCATTCAAATCCATTTTGATTTTATTTCAATTCCATTAAAATTTAGCTAACTTAGTTGAAGAGAACTCATTCTTCAGTTTTTATAAATTAATGCTTTTTGTTTATTTATTCATTCATTCTGTCTTGCTTTAAAATTTTTCTTAATACTTCGAGTACCTCTTCTTCTTCATCTTTCTTCTTTTCCCATTTTAGTTGTTTCATTTTGTCCTCTTTCACATTTTTTTCTTTCTTTCATTTTTTGTTGAATTGAAAATGCCATTTTTTCTTCCTCCAATTTTAAAACTTTGCTTTCAAATTTTAAATAAACAAGCATTTTCAAGTACTTATTCAATTTTCTAGCATATATAAATAAGCATTAATTCAACTATTATTTATCATCCAAAGGCATTCACTCTATCACAGCGAGTATTTGATCATTACAGTCTACCTCTTTCAATATGGTTGAGTATTTCATCATTACAGTCTACCTCTTTCAATATGGTTGAGTATTTCATCATTACAGTCTACCTCTTTCAATATGGTTGAGTATTTCATCATTACAGTCTACCTCAACAACTCTTCCAATATGGTTTCAAACAACAGTTTTTATTTTATATGTTCCAACTTTTTTAGCAGTTAGGCATAATTGTGCAAATTTGGGATTTGGTCTCATATTAAGAGAGAGGAAAATGAAGTTACTGAATAACTAATGCTAAATGATAGCACAGTATTGTCGCCACTTGCAGCTATTGGAATCATTTTCAAATTTTAATTTCTTTCCAGGATTGCCTTTTTTTATTTTTGTGTTATTTCTTCTAAAATTTATACGCATAATTTGCATTCAAATTAGCATTTTTCGCTTATTGTTTTCAATCCTAGAAAGAAATTTAATATTTTGAAGGAATTTCGTATTCTGAATTTGTTTCTGAATTTATATTATTTATATTCAGGAAAATAAGTGAAAACGATGAATTATATTTTATTTGAAAATAATTTTGATTCTTAAAAAAAGAATAATAAAACTGATTGAAATCAAAAAGTATCATTTGGATAAGGCGTTCCAATTTTCGTTCAACTTGTTTGAACTGGCCGAATTTCCGAATTATTTTATTTACACAACAAGAACTTTGATATCAGACAAGAGGAGAGATGACTTGTTGAACGAGTTTTAGGCTCCATGAAGTCGCCATCCTCCTCTCAGCTGAAAGAGTTTCGATTGAAAGTAAGAATGTACACATTCAAATATATATTTCTATTTAGTAATACATACATATGTATATATATATATATATATATACATTTAAGTAAATAAATATATATATAGGATACACACATAGCAGACGTTTCACCGACGGTGTAATTAATGAGAGTTTAGGTAGGGGTTGGTTTTAGCTTTCTTTTTATTGCTTCAACAGGTAGGGTTAGTTTTAAGGTGATTATAAATGTTGCTGTTTGCTGTGATGAAGAAAGCGAAAGCAGTTGTTTTATTTCACTTTGTTGTTTAAATACTTTTTCTTTCTTTCTTTCTACGCCATAATATTGTTGAAAATGTTTGATTTTTGTAATCCTCAAAATCAAAATTTCCCGATTGGAATTCTATTCTCGATAGACGAAGTTTGATTTATTGTATTTTGTTTCAATGCTTAAAGTTAAGGTTATATTTGACCCGCTGAAGCTGTTATAATATTGGCTAACTGGCTGGAATTTCTTCACGTACTATTTTATTATTCATGTTGTTTTGTTGTACATGACTCACTTGTTTTATGGCAAAAGATTATTTAAGTTATCGTTGTAAAAGAAATTGATTCGTTTATTAGACAGGCACATACACTAATAATTATTATGTATATGGACAATGAAATATTGACGGTATTTGAAACGAGTGTGTCATAAATTATGAAGTAAAAATGGATTGGCTGAATGATAGGAACAGAATTGTTGACAAGATAGATGTCATCATGGACAATTCAATTTTCTCTTGTGTCAGTTTGAAACAAGTTAAACGTCCTTAACTATTCGATAGCATAGAGCAACGGAAGGATTTTTAGCGGAATGAAATGAAGTGCATTTGAACATCTGTTCAATTTATGTTAACCTTGCCAAGTGTGTAGTTGATTAAAGCAATGAAATTACACGTGGATGATTCCTTAGTAAATATGAGATTATAATTCATTACAGGAAATAAATAGGAATTAATAATATTTAGTTTGTCATTATTCATCAATACCAACGTGGAAATTAACGTTAGTGATTAAAGAAGATAATTAGTGTAGTGGAAGAGCAAAGTTTAGACATAATTATATATATTCCAATAGTTGCTATATGTTATGTATGTTTCAAAACAGATAAAATAAAACTTTAGTTATAGAAAGAATAAAATTTTACCTGTATAGGTTAGGTAGAAAAAGAGGACCCTCTGGTGGTACCATTTAATATTCATTTCTCAATTCAAATTGAATTTATTCATAGAAACGGACAATGATGACGATTGATGAATATGATGATGATGATGATAATGATGATGATGGATAATGATGATGATGATGATGTTGATGATGATGATGATGATGATGATGATGATAATGATGGTGATGATGATGATAGTGATGATAATAATGATGTTTTGAGTTGCTTGAAGTAACACGGAACAAAAAGATGAAATGAGAGAGAGGGTGGGATGATAGGAGGGGATAAACTGAACAATTCGAATAAATTAATAGCAGTTGTTTGCTTCTTCATTCCTTCCATTTACTTTTGATGAAGCATTTCATTTCAATCGGTTGTTATTTAGATTGCAAAAGAATAAAAGAGGAGAGAGAGAGAGAGAGAGAGAGAGAGAGAGGGAGGGACAACCTTTGAAAAAGGAGTCTCCTTTTATAATAATAACTTTTTATAATAAAAACACTGACGGTTTCAATCACA